AGGCGTGCTAAGCCTTTTTATGATGAAATCATGCTTGTCGGCGTGTGTACTGGGAAGGACCCTGGCTTGATCCAGATTGGTTCCACACTATCTTCGGCGCGAGCGATTTGTCGCTTTCTTAAAAACTTTCAAAAACAAATGTTTTACGCGGCCCTGCGAAGACCTGTGTGGAATCGCTCTTGAGATTGCGCAGCCTAGGATCGCTCTCGGCCTCAAGATTCGACCTGTTGTCTTGAGCCTCGAACTCATTCGAAACATTCAACAGTCAGCCGTCAGAGGAGGCCCGTGTGGCCAATTTTGAAGCAGCCCTCGACCAAGAGGCGCCGAAATTGAATCAAGAGGAGTAGATCTCACCAGAAGAAGTTCGTGGAGTAACTGGGATGGATTCTTCCACAAATCATTGCAACAGCCGTTCTCCTAGACACAGAGAGGCTTCAATTCAGAAAACCATTTGGCATGGACTTGTTACACTTTTACCCTTTGAGAGGCTCGCTGGGTCGAAAACCCGGAAGGGCGGCCCAGGCAAAAGTTAGAGCAAGAGAAGAATACAGAAAAAAAAAAGAAAAAAAAAAGAAAAATACAACAATGAAAAGAAAAGAAAAAATGCAAAAAAGAAAAAAGAAATGAATAAAAGAAAATGAAAAGAAGCTCGCAAGGTCGAAAACCCGTATTGGGCGTCTTGGCAAAAGTTAGAGCCTAAAAAAGTGAAGGTTAAAATACCCAAGTGTACCTTAACCGGAACTACGTAAGGCTTGATTCCCATGTTTGGGATACGTAGGCAACTTCATCATGAAGTCCATCCCCCAACGCTCTCATAGCGTCTCAGTCCATGCAATGGTTTCGACTTCATCCCAAAGTCCAGTTGCCAACACCTTCCAAGGTGACTGTGTCCATATATTTGTTGTGACCGTCTTTGTCATCGCTGTGACCAAGAGCTCGGCCACCGTCAATGAAGACTGTCTGCGGACTGCTGCGGCATCATCCAAACAAGGGGCAACTTTCCGTTGCCGCAAGCCAGCGTGAGCCGCCATTCAAACCAGGGGCAACTTTCCGTTGCCTCCCACCCCCTTCAAACCAGGGGCAATTTTCCATTGCCTCCGATCCGAGGTTGCGCATCTCAAAGAGTAAGTTCCATGCTCGTTGAGCATTGACTGTTTACAAAAGTAGTTTTTGAAAATTTTTACCGAGGTTGACTATTTTCTCGAAAACTATTCCATTTTCCAAAACCGGACCATTGTCTTGGACCCAAAAAGGAAAATTTTCAGTGCTTACATGCCTGACTTGCACGGTTTTCAAATCAAAAATTGAACAAGTACGTCAATCCGACTCTCATTTTGATCAAAACCGTTTTAGTAGAAAACCAAAACAAAAAAATGGTTAAAATGATGGACTAGGGGCACAGTTGAGCCACGCGTTCTATCTTTCCCCCGTCATCGCCGTACTTGCCAGAAGAGCACTCTGCCCGCCAGAAGAAATAGCCGTGAGCTAACGGTGTTGAGCACGAACCCACACCTTTCTTTTCATCCATCAATCACCCCGGGGAGGGATGAAAAATGAGAGAATAAAGAATAGAGAGGTGTAAGTTGAGAGAAAAGTGAGGAAAAGGGTTTTGAGAGAAAATCCGAGCTTGAGAGTCGAGTGATGTAAGAATCACAAATCAGATAGGGTGGGAAACAATACCCAGATCGAACTGGCTCCTCGTGGTTCGAGGTCCCCCATCTTCGCTAACGCGTCTGTGTGTCGTGTCTCTTTGATTTGACGGTCTCGTCTCTTGTTTTTAGGTCTTTTCTGAGCGTGTCTCGTTGTGTTTAGGTCGTGTACCTGTATTTGAGTCCTCCCCGCTGTGTTCAGTTGTAGGCTCGATACCCCGGTTGGAAAAAAACCTCATTCGATTTCAAAAATCATTCACACTTGGAATGCTGTGCCATTCTCTACATCTGAGCATGTTTCAACCCTAGCTGGTTTCACCTTTGAAGGCCGTCTTGTCAGATTGGGCTGTTTTGTTTAAAGTTTGCTGTGTGCAGGATGATCGAATGCTGTGTTATGGGCTGAATGCAGATTAATCCCCAACAGAGTAAGGGCTGTGTGTCTAAAGATCAGGCAGTGGGTTGCTTGGGTTATTTTGGTATTGGTTGTTTAAGTTATCTGGTTATTACAGTGCGAGTGTTCAATTTTCAGATAACCAATCGATTTCATTTACATTGAGGTGTAACATGATGATATGCGATGCAATGCATGCAATGTGTAAATGTAAACACTTTTTTTCAGATAAAAAGTCCGTTTCATTTCATTATCTTTTCAAATGTACAAGTTTTGGAAACAAAAATCTGCCTGCGGCAGTACAAGGTAATCTATCTACCAACAAAAGAAAAGTACAAGAAAGAAGAAGATAACAAAAATCTGCATCCATGACAAGCACTCCGGGGGGCCGTCAGTCCCTCCTAGTCCTCTTCCTGGATGAGGGTCCAGGAGCATCATCAGCGTTGTCGTCAGAGCCCGAGCTAGAACCACCTCCAGTCTCCTCCTCCGATGACTCTGACTCCACCTCTGCCTCCGCCTCTGACTCCACGTCATCATCATCGTCCGGGACTGGAGCTCGCGAGCTACTCCCGACATGAGTACGCCCTCCCCTGGTACGGGGAAATATCCTGCCCTCCTCATCTCTCCCCCGAGCAGGGACAGAAGGCCCAGCTGGAGCACCTCCTGCCATGGGAATCTGGAAAGGAGGCTGAAAAAGTACACAAAAAGGGAAATGCATCAGAATGCCGTGAGCAGTTTAAAGGTGCAGAATGCAATGCCGAGTATAGTGTATGAATGCCGTGAGCAGTTTAACACTCGTAGAGAATTCCTATTCAAACAAAACACTTGAATAACATCGACATGTGATTTCATTGTTAGTAATGTTATCCAAACATAACCTAAAGTTTAGCATTGAAGAAAAATTGTTGGTTGAGAAATGGGAAATTCTCATTAACAATGAGACAAATAAAAAGGACAAATATATATTGTAGTCCTTAAAGTATGTTTACTATGTTACTTTAGTCCTTCAAATTTCAATTTTGCCTTCATTTATAAAATTTTCAATCTAAGTCAAATTGGTCTAATTTCAAACGGTCCTCTAAATAATTAACCGAATAATTATAAAACACACATATTTCCCCTAAAGTATGCATTATGTGTCATTTTGGTCCCAAATTTCAATTTTATTAGTTTCACCGCTAAACACTATAAGACCATGCTTCATCTTCATCATATATATTATATGCTTAGGGACCAAAGGGACAAAACTAAAAATTGAAGAAAAAGCTGATACGGAGTGCACATATTTTAGAAAACAACAAGTATAGTTTACTACTATTGTGTAAACGAATTAGACAGTACATTTGAAATTAGACCAATTTTGACTCATTTGAAATGGGTCATGTCTATTCTAATTTTATTTTCTAATTTGCAGTGGGAGTGTGAGTTGATGACATTTTTATTTGGAGTAAACTGTAACTGAGTTATAAGAGATACTTACCTAAGCCTTTTGCTGTTGAGGTTAAGGAGGTCCTCTTGATCATCAATTCCAGGACTTCCACTGGATCCTGCTGCTGCGTCGTAGTCATTGTCATTAAGGTCGTCTCGTATTCTTTTCGATGTAGTAGCACTACTAGCACCTTGTACTCCTGCAGATCTGTCCAAGTCTCCATGGAACACACCCATGTTGTTATTATCTTCAGAGTTGTGTATGCTCAATGCTTGTTGTTTGGCTTCCTTGTATACTAAACGGACACCGAACTTTTCAACCTCAACAAAATTCTTCCCTGCCCATCCATTTTCCCCAAAGCAATATCTTTCAGCTGCTTTCAAAGCCAGTTGATATTCTCCTGATGAAGAATTCCGACAGACTCCAAATAAACAAGCTTGAAATTCAATTCCATCCTCATTTAATTGCTCCATATCAGCTTCCACGTTTCTCAGAAATTCACTGCGTGAGACATACCTAACTGGCAAATTTCCAAAATCCACAGCTGGAAGACTTGTGATTTGACGTTTAGAACATTTTGTGATTATCCTCTGAGTACCAAGCCTCTTAAACCTCATAGCAATAAGCAAAGGCTTATATTTATTGCTGATTCCAACAGCAGCGAAAGCAAATCCCAAGAAGCTGCTGTTAAACCAATGTGGAGGCAACTGAAAAGATATCCAACACCCCCTACTTTGATGGCTGAACCACTTTGGAATCTCTCTCCTAGGTAAAACAATGCTAAAACAATTCCTCCCACAAGAATTTCTCTGAACAGTAGAGATTGGTCACAACACAATCAGTGGCTAGCGGCTCCAAATTTTAGTTAGAGTAAACTTCCAAAATCTTAAATTATAATTTGTATATTAAAAAAAAATCACATTTATCTATATCTATCATTCACTCTCCTAAATCTCTTATTTTAAAATTGTGTTTGGCTTTTCTCATGTTCACATCATAATATGATAGAACTTGAGAGGTCATGGGACCCACCACAGGTCTCATTTCGATAACACGAACCGTTCATTTTGTAGGGCCTTCAATGTATATTATCTATGAAAAAATTTAGTTCGATCCGATAATTGTAACATTTTCATTTTATTATCTTTGTCTCCGAAAAAATGGACGATATCTTCACTTTCTTCGCACTTTCTTTTTTAAGTCCATATCTTGAGTATTCAAAATATACAAACTCTCTCTTTTTTTATTGCAAATCGCAATACGTAATACATTGTAAATCCAATAATAAGTCATCAAATAAAGTATATCAGTGACAACTACAAATCTCAAAAGGGATAAAAAGAGCCATCCCACAAGGAGGATAAGAATCTCCACGTAAAAAAAAAAAAAAAACTTCCACGATTTGGGGTCGTTTTCTCAGGGAGCTCATCATACCACTCCCGTGCACCAGTATTCCCATACCCGCGAATGGTATGGGAACCCTCCTGTAAACAGAAGATGACAATTGCAAGACAACATTCAAAATGCAGTTCTTGAAAAAGCAGATATAGCATGTGTGCAAGTTTGACAAGTTTCAGGCAAATACCGGGTGCCGGTGTGCTTGCGTTGAAATACGTGTGCTGTGTCAGCGTGTTTGGGTGTTTCAGAACAGATATGGCATGTGTGCAAGTTTGACAGATTCAGACAAATACTGGGTGCCAGTGTATATGCAGTAAAATACAGTGAGTGCAATGTGTTTGAATGATTCAGGGCTAGTGCAGTGTGTGTGCATGTGTCAGTCTCAAGCAGATATCAGTTGTATGTATGTTTACAGTCAACTACGGTCTATGGTGTATTAGATTTCAGCAGTTAAAGAGTACAACTA